GAGAACACATGGGAAGAACAGGATTTTATCCTGGTTGAGGCTATGGCCAGATAGGATTTTGGGGATTGAACTATGCTGGTTGGCAATGTTTCTTCTCTGCCCTGGAGTTGGATTCCCAAATCCCACAGAGCTGTTGGGAGAAGGGATTGGGCCATGCCTTAATTCCATGCCTGGAAAATTCAGCTAGGTTAGGTCAAATTGGACTTGGTGATCTGTTCCCTGTCACTCCATGTGCTGGAGCTGAAGCTCCTGGAACACTGTGGAGCTATGTGAGGATGGAATTTGCTGTGTTCATGTTAAATACAAGCAGGAGCAGCCCCAGGCCAAGGGCACTTCCATTGAATCTTTCCTCATACCTGTTTCTCCCTGGCTCCCAGCAGTCTCCCCCAGCCTGTGCCTTCCAGCTAACATGTATTTGTCCTTTTTCTGTGTGGCAGGAACTTAGCCATTGGGATTGGGATCCAGAACTTCCCGGAGGGACTGGCTGTCAGCCTACCCTTGCGTGGTGCTGGATTTTCCACCTGGAAAGCCTTCTGGTAAGCTGAGCTCCTTCTCCTGGGAAACAAGAGCTTTCCATCAGCACCTCTTGCCCACAGATTTCTTCCCCTATCCACTGTGTTGCTCCATCATTGTGTCTCCCTTGGAATGGGCTTGCTCCAGACCTGCTGGGTCCTAGAGGGAAAGAATGGGAAGAACGTGATTTTATCCTGGTTGAGGCTGTGGCCAGGTGGGATTTTAGGGATTGAGCTGTGCTGCTTGGCGGTGTTTCCTCTTTGCCCTGGAGTTGGATCCCCAAATCCCACAGAGCTGTTGAGGGAAGGAATTGGGCCATGCCTTAATTCCATGCCTGGAAAATTCAGCTAGGTTAGGTCAAATTGGACTTGATGATCCCATGGGAAGCTCCTGTTGGGTGTCTGTGGAGCTTTGCATGGTAGACACATCCACCTGATGTGCCTCAGAGCTCTCCCACACAGCAGCCCCACACTGGGACCACCACATCATCCAGAGCTTATCCCAAATGGAAATAGCTCTTTGAACAGCTGGGGGTCACAAAGGCTGGAATTGCAGTGGGAGGGTTTGTTGGATCTGCTATGCCTGTTGGCATTAGGGAATGGGGGGATGCTGGGGCTGGGAGCTGCCATGGGATAGTGGGATGGCTGTGCCACCCGTGGCTGCAGGTCCCTGAGGGCTGTGAGTGTGGCTGTTTGGCAGGTATGGGCAGCTGAGTGGGATGGTGGAGCCCTTGGCCGGTGTCTTCGGAGCCTTTGCGGTAGTGCTGGCAGAACCTCTCCTGCCCTACGCCCTGGGCTTCGCTGCAGGAGCCATGGTCTACGTGGTGATGGATGACATTATCCCCGAGGCACAGACCAGGTGAGACCCCCACTGCAGGCAGGGAGAGGTGGGAGGAATCTCAAAGCACTCCAGAACATTCCTTCCCTTGTCCTGATGAGATGCACTCAGTGCTTCCCTCCTCCCAAACGTTCCACGGAGCTCACACCTCCTCTCTCTCCCTGCAGTGGCAATGGGAAGTTGGCATCTTGGACCTCCATCCTGGGATTTGTGGTGATGATGTCCCTGGATGTTGGGCTCGGATAGGGCAGCTCTCAGCCCCCCCAGGAGAAGATGTCAGAGCCTCAGAGCCACAGCGTTGGGAACGGGGCACGCGTTCCCTCCTGCACTTGTTTTGTATATAGACTTTTTGGATCTGGTTTGGTGTTGATTTCCTATCATTTTCTATCTCTTCCTCCCCTCCAATGTCATGTTGATGGTTTCCAAAGCACAAATACGGGTGGTGCCTCCCAGATCCTGATTTCCTTTGACCACCACATCTGGTTTTCCTCTTGGGAGAGTTATTGGATGGCACTGAGCTGGTTTCTCCCAGTCAGCTCACTTTGGATTTTGAACATCTTTGCTCTGTAGAAGGATAAAAATTCCCTGTCCCGTGTTGAAGCTTGTCTGTGGCTAAGCACCAAGGCACTGGGATGGAGCAAACTCCTAATGGAGTCTGGAATTCCACCCTTTTTTGGGAAGGCAGGTGGAAGGCTACGATGACATGCACAGCACTCCATGGGTGGCAGGTCTCCTGTGTCCTGCTGCTCCTTGGGAATGCTTCAGACAGTTTGGGTTGCTGGGTGCAAATAGTCCAGACAAATACAAATGAATTTTCATGGGATTTCTGCTTGACAGAAATGTAATTTTTTTCCTAGGTTTATCCAAAATGGGCCATTATGTCCAATATTTCAGGGGTTTCTATGGGGAAAAAAAAAAAACCAAACAGGAAAGATGAATTTCAGTGTTTCCCAGCACGTCCTCTTTGACAAGGCAACTTGCAATCCTCCATGCTGTGCTGATGCTCTGCAGTGGGATACAATTCCACATGGATCTGTGTTTGGTCTTCCCAAGGGATTGCTGGTTTATGGCTGTGACTTCCAGTGATCCATAACTCCCTGAAAAGCCAACACAGGTTTATCCTGGTGATGATCCTAGTCACACTTCACCTGGAGAAGAGCTTGGAGCCAAGTCAGCACTTGGGCTTGCCATGAGCCCTTTTCTTCCTGAGCAGTGTTGGGATGAGATAATCCATCAGGATGAGTTAAGTATCCTCCAGGAACAGCCAGAAACATGCACCATTGGTTCCTGCCTCTTCACCTCATGCTTTCCAAGCATCTCTCATGGTATGGCTCTTTCTGAGCAGGCAGGATTGATCCCTTCCAGGCTGAGGAGCAAGTCCTGCCCATCCCTGTGCTTGGTGCAGGCTCAAGTGAGGAGGGACATGCTGGAGCTGGAAGGATGCTGTAAATCCCAGCTCCCCCTCACTATGGATGCTTCAATCTTCAGTACAAAGGGCTTCATTAGACCCTCCAGTGGGAATAACTGGATCACCTGGCTGCCTCCTGCTGCTCAGCCCCTCTGGAATTGGGGCTGGGATGTCATGAATCATCCCTGGGTCCTGCTAGAGCGCAGCCCAAGGGAATAGGCTGGAATCAGCTCAGCCATGAATCATCCCTGGGTCCTGCTAGAGTGCAGCCCAAGGGAACAGGCTGGAATCAGCTCAGTCATGCATCTTCCTTGGGTTGGATTTCATTTGTACTTCATTTGTGTGTCACTGGCTGATACAAACTGCTGTTTGCCAATGGATTTGACCTTTTAACTGTGATTGGTTTCAATAAATGGGAGATTGAGAGTTTGCACTGATTTGCTTTCATGCTCTAAAGCCTTAGATTTGCTTCTCCTCCCTCTGCTCAGCTGCATTTCCTCTCTCCAGCTTACTTGCTCCTGGCTTGGCCAAGGTGCTGCCTCTTGGCCAGGAAGGAAACCTCTTTGGGGATGGAAACAGGGGGGAAAAAAACAAGGAAAGGCAGTTTTGCAGTGCCTCAGCCACACACCTGTGAATGTGTGTCCCTGGGAACCTCAGGGCTAAGGAGCTGAGTCAGGTCTGTCCAGGCACAGGGAGATTTGGGGTTGTGGCACCTCAGAGGGGTGTCAGGACCCTCTTTTTAAAAGCACTAGGTGGGAGCTGTCCTGCCATCCTGGAGCAGGAGGGGGAAGGGACCTGCTACAACTGGAAACCAGAGCTCCTATATCCACTGTCTCCTTCCCAGTGCCACCAATGGACAGGTTGGACCATGTCTCAGTGCTCTTCACCTCCTTTCTAGACCCACTAGAAGCACCTGGACCATCTCCCACTGCTCTTCACCTCCTTTGTAGACACACTCCCAGTGTCTGTAAACTTTTCACCCTCTGTTTTCATCCAAAAGCCTTAAAAGCCTGAAACTGCTGAGGATGGCCACGGGTCAGGATTGCTGCAGCCTCTTGGTGATGTTTCCTGCTTTGATTCGTGGTGTGTGCTGTAAGCTGCTACAGAAACCACATTATACATTTAAAGGCAGCCTTGTAATCAGATTGCTGGGAGATAATAGCACCTAAAGCATTTAATCCTGCTTGGCTGTAGCCAGCCCAGAGGAGGGTGATACACACTGGAGCTGGAGGGAAGGAGTGGGGAGGGTGATGCAAGGAAAATCCCTCGTTTCTGTTTGCACCCTGGGGGGGATGGAATTATCTCCCTGCTCCTCGGTGTGATTGAAAGGCTGGCAGGGAGCCAGGCCTGAAATCACCTGTGGAAACAATCAGTGTCAAGGAAAAGGTGGAGTTTGGGAGCAAAGGGAATATAAACAGCCAGCCAAGGCCTGCAGAATGGGGGTGAGTTAGGAGGAGCTGGGAATGGCCAAGGGACCAAGCTGGAGGGAAAAGGGGAAAGTTATCCCATGGTGTTGGAGGTGGATTTTGGGATCACAGAGAGTGCTTGGCCTCAAACATTTACTTGGGTGAGGCTGCAGGATGCTGCCAAGGGACTGGGATGGTCCTTCCCCATCCCATCCTATGTCTCTGCTTCTGGAAGATAGGGATAACCCCTGGCCCACAGCATCCATGCTCAGGGTGAGCAGAGAGGGAGGGTTTTCCCTATCTTTCCATCCTTTTGGTGGGAGGCAAACAGCCCTCCAAGGGGCACAGGGTGCCTGAAGTGCTTTGAAATGACTTTTGAGTCAAGTGGAATATCAAGTTTTAGCTGGTGATTTCTCCCCCTCTACTAATTTTTCAGTAAAATTCAAAACATTTCTATGTGTCCCCAGGGAGGGCAGTCCCCTGGTGCCAGCAGGTGGGTGAGTGGCTGCTGTGTGAGGCTCAGTGGCCTCTTGGCTTGTGGCTGCCAGTGAGAGGTGTAAAACAGATTTGCTCTTCATCCAGTGGGATGTGATGCCTGGCAAATGTGCTGAGGAGCTGCTGGAGAGGAGCACACTGCTGGGAAACTGGGGAAAAGTGGCTTCTTTGGTCCTCTCTGCTCAGTCTGTGCAGGGCAGGGGTTGCACTGGTGATCCTCGTGAATCCAGCTGAGGCTATTCCCTGATTTTATGATGTTGGATAGAATCACCTCTCCCTTCAGTGCTGTGATGTGGCTCACACTTCCCCAAGTACAGTGCCGTGAGTTAGGGTGCAGGAACAGCTCCCTATGGGTGCTGGGTGCTCTTCAGCTCCTGCCTGTAAATCCAGCTGAGGCTATTCCCTGTTTCCCTGATGCTGGATGGAATCACCTCTCCCTTCAGTGCTATGGCACAGCTCACACCTCCCTGTGCACAGTGTGATGAGTCAGGGTGCAGGAACAGCTCCCCATGGGTGCTGAGTGCTCTCCAGCCCGTGCTGGGTGCTGGGCAGGGTGCAGGCAGCTGTGGCTGGCAGGGCTGGGTGGGGACAGCAGCCCCAAGTGAGGGCTTTGCACGCAAGGGAACAATAATCCCATTATGAGAGCCCAGGGCAGCAGAGCCAGGAGGAGCAGGAGGAGCAGCACTGGGAGATGCGCCCGGGGGGATCCTGGCACCTGAGTCATGGCTCAGGGAGGGATGGGTTCACCTCCCTCCTCTCCTCTCCTCTCCCCTCCCCTCGGGAGAGAACCAATTCAAACCTGGAGACAAAAATGAGTTCTATGCTTTGTGCCTGGACTTTGTTGTCCTTGGCAGTGAGGCTGCAATTAAAGCTGAGGCAGCTCGTGCACAGCCACAGGCTCCAGGGTGAACCTCTGCCTGCTCCCAGCTCTCTTGGGTGCCCCAACCCCTCCTGCTGGCCCTGAATGTGCCACATTGCCTTGTCTGGGTGGCACCTCAGCACTAAACCTGGCTTTGAGGGACTGGAGGGAAGACAAATTCCACACCAGGTGTCCTTTTCCCAGGGCAGAGACTTTGGTGTGGTTGGATTTCTAGAGGAGGTTTTGTAGGATCACAGGATGGTTTGGGTTGGAAGGAGCTTAAAGCTTATCTTGATCCCCTCCCTGCCATGAGACACTTTCCACCAGCCCAGGTTGTTCCAAGCCACATCCAACCTGGCCTGGAACACTCTCAGGGATGGAGCAGCCACAGCTTCTGTGGGCAACTTGTGCCAGTGCCTCAGCACCCTCACAGGGAGGAATTCCTTCCAATATCCATCTAAATCTCCCCTTTTCCAGTGGGAAGCCATTCCCCCTTGTCCTGTCCCTCCAGGCCCTTGTCCCAAGTCTCTCCAGCTCTCTTGAACCCCCTTAGACACTGGAAGGTTCTCTCAGGTCTCTGTGGAGCTTCTCCTCTTGAGACTCAACACTCCCAACTTAATTTACCACCAGTCTATTTTCCAGGTATTTATTGGCACTTTAAGTGGCTGTATTTAGTCTTTTATGGTCAAGCAGCCCTTGAAAAGCTACATGCTGTTGTCCATGCTGGATTTCTTATGGATGAGCTTATGGATGAGCTCCTGGTTGCCTTTTTCCACAGGTGGGTGGTGGCTTGGAAAGATTCCTCTCTGCTGTCTCAGAGGGATGTTCTCCACATACTTCCTTAGGTGTTGTGTGATGTGAAATGCCATTGGTCCAGGAGTGTTTCTGCTGCAAATTCTTCTATCCAGAGGGTTGTTCCCAATGGGAAAAGAGGGATAAGTACCCCTGTGGGATCTTGGGATCTGCAGCTTGCCCAGCTCCCATCTCAGTGCCTCTTCTCTTGTTTTAAGGCTTTACAGTCAGGAGAGTTTGTGCAAGAACGGCGAGAAAATATTCTCAGTATGTTTTTGGTTGGGAT